TTATCTTTTAACTAAGTAATACACATTTGGGAGAAGATCTGAGAAGTGTCATATGTGATGCAATGATTGGTGATGTGCCTGCTATGAATGCACACACAGATTGAAGTGTACAAATCACACTTTACAATGTATTCTGCGTGGGGGGGAAATGGTGTTACATTGTGAAAGAAAACAGCCCTGTTGGCAAGCCACAGAGCATTACTACACATTGTTCAACATCTTCTGAAAGGATTCATTTATTGAAATGCCTATACTCCCCCATCCTAATACAATTAAGGTGAATGTAATTGTATTTGTGGTACTTGAACATTTGTCTTTCTAGAAGCATCCTGGTTTTGGATCCACAGATTTGTGACATGAAAGCAAAGACCTGGCTAAGGAAAGAAGACAAAAGGATGCAGCTCGAGGCTAACAGTACCCTATCATTATAATGATAAAATACGAGTTACTCTTTAGTGAACTCAAATGTATCGCTTCACCAATGACATTATGCAACACCAGACACAACAAACATAGAGTTAAAAACTCATTAACTTAGTTATAATCAATCATTTTAAAAGATAAATTGATGAACTAAATAAACATTACAGTAAATGTGAATAGACTGCTGGGACTTAACATTGTCTACATTAATGATTGTCCATCAAAAGCTGGCTTAAGTATTTACTTAGCTATCTATTTGGTTAAGAGAAGATTGTGCAAAGCAGATAAATAGTTCAGGTTTAACAGCTAAGAGGTTTAGAAGCATTCATATAAGAAAACAAATAACACAAATAATCACTGTGTGGGTTGAATTGTGAGTTTGTTTGTGTGCTGGTTTGTGGGTGTTGACAGATCTGTCTTGCAACGTTTGCGACTCAGTCTGAAATCTTTCAGATAGGGGGACGAGGCTTGCTGCTGGGGGAAGGGGGGGGGGCGTCTGTGACTGTGTGTGAATGTGAGGACATGAACTATTGAACTTCACTGTGATTGGTAGATGTGCATGATTTCATCTAGCTGTGCTGTGATGTATTTGTTTATGCTGCAGTGGGCTTGTATATACGTACAGCTGAAATGAAGTATATATATATATACTTGATTTGGAAATAATAAGTGAGGAAGAGAAATAAATAAGATAAGAGCATATCATTGGACATACAGTAGTGTAGATAAGTCAGTGCTGTATTTCTAGTCCAAGAAAGACAAAACAATGACTAAATACAAATGTAATTTGTGACAAGTGTGTCAGGGACACTCAGTTTGCCCAGCGGAGTGAATCACAGTGTGCTGACACATTATGAGGAGTGTGCGCTGAAGTCAGGGCAGCGTAGGAAGGCTGAGTGTGCACATAATGTTAGTCAGTGAGTTGTGTCATGAGTGAAAGTAATGTGTTATCTTGTAAACTCAGACGTTCTCCTTCATACTGGATGAAAGGAGCCATGGACAGGGTAGATAGTGTGTATGTATGTTGCACAGGGAGAGGGGAAAGGTGCACAGAAGCGGAAGCACAGCTGATTGACAGTCGGCATGGCGATGGAGGCGGGTTCTAGTCCTCTGAAGCATGGCGATTGGAAAAAAGAGAATAAAAAAGGAATATTGGAGAAGATGGAAGTAAAAGGGGAAAAATGGGGTTGAAAGCAAGAAAGGGGAAGACAAGAAAGAGTAAAAAAAATGCATCAGGTGCATTAAAATAAAAAATGGTTCATCAGAAAGAGAGAATAAATAATAAAAGGGTATAAATCAAGAGGAAAAATAATAAATATAAAATTAAAATATTTAAGCGAGGAGAAAAAAAGATGAATGAGAATAAGAGGAAGGGACAAGGGGAGGAAAGGAAGAAAGCAGATTAGTAAAGCGGTCAAAGAAATCTGCAATTACTTTAACATAGGTCAAATAATTGACCAAGATGAGATGAAAAAAATGTTTTAAATCTTATATTGTTGATGTGCCGTGCAGAGGAGTCATGCAGTGGAGGTGCGGCATGCAGCATCCCAACACATACACTTCACACTTACACATCTGTCAGGATTCAGCTTACACTCGCAATTACGTGACCCAGTTACTAATTATACTGCTTCCTCTCCCTGGGCTCTTTGGGAATAACAATGATGAATGGATCCAATGCACTTCCACAAGGCCAGATGCTCTGTCTTCTGAAATAGGCCCACTGAAAACTATATAGTAGCACACCTCACGCTGTATTCAAATCAGAGTTTAGCTAACACTTAAACAGAGCATCCTTCTGACACCATTTTCCTTATTTTATATGAACACATGCACACATACAGCCAAGTAACCATGGTAACACAAGTGACCCATGCCATGCAAACAGCCAGACAGCTAAGCGGGGAACATGCCAACACAGGCGTCTGATTTATATGCTGATCACTCCTCCCACTGTCGCCAACATACATCCCACCAACTGCACATTTATCAGCTAGCAGAATAATACAGCTGCCACAATCTGTGGTTTCATTCCTAACAGAAGTTGTTTCTTCCCAAACCAAGCCATCACTTATTCCATCAATGCACGGATCCAACACAATGCTTCATCAGCAGAGCATTGACCTGCAGTCAAGAGGAGCAGCGACACATTCCTGCCATTTTGAACATACCATGTTAATCTAAAAGGATGTTGAGGTAAGTTACATTCGTGTAAAGAAAACACACTTGCATTGTGCCTGATCACAGTAGCTCGCAGACGTTCACAGTGCGGGTATACAGACTGTTTCACTTAAATACTGAACTTGAATGCCAGGTAACAAAATGATCAACACCACCATTCTGCCAAGTGGATGGTTCTTTGACTAATTCATGTATGTGTATGGGTAAGCACCAGCAATTTGTTGCAATCACTTCTGATTTTACTTAGAACCAAAGTCACAATGTCTTGCTTTAAGCCAGGCTTACATATTCCTGTAGTATTTTTGAATTTTTATTTTAATAATCCAGACTATTTTATATTGTTTTCTTTATATTGTTTATATTTGATATCATATTTGTATTTTATTTGTAATTGTTAATTCTCTTTTCCACTTTTTAAAGTATTGTATTTTAATGTCTGAACACACTTCTGCTTCTGTGACTAAATCATTTTCCAAAATGGGATCAATAAAGTTTCTATCTATCGATCTATATTGCACTTTAAGCCAGGCTTATATTGCATTTGTGTGCAACTGTTACATACTGGCCCCAGGCTGGATATAAACCAGCAATTAGCCAATATCAAATGTTTATATCAGAGTTTTTAATAACCAACCTGTTGTTGACATTGTGTCATGCAGATTATGCCTAGGAATAAGTTCCCAAAAGTGCACTTCAGTTTTATCTTTTGATTAACTTAACATTTCGGATCTCCATGTAAGTACAGCAGGTCTAAAAGAAAAGTGTTGCCTGCTTCTCTTTCTCTCCTTCACACACATTTGGTCACGTATAAATGGATTATGAGTTGGAACTCCAAAGTGAACTGCATCGTGGTACACCATTGAATACATGTCATACGCAGATACTGTATGTGCAGCAGTGAGGATTACTTGTTCTCAGTGGAGGCGACCTCAGATACTCATTGATACACCCATGCAGAATCCTTGACATGCACAGCAGTACTGCAGTTTCAAATGGAACAGCTCCATGACAAAAACAAAAAGTGAACTGAGGAACATGAGTTTGTATGGAGGAATTGTGTTAAAGCTGAGAAATGGGGGGAAAGGGAGACCATACTATTGAAAAATCTGACAAGCGGATTTTCCGAATGTAACACACGTAAACACACAAACACACACCCACACAGAGCGCTCTCTCTCAGTCTATTTCAGTACAAGCAGACAGCCAGAGGGGCAGACAGAGTGCTAGTTCATTAGACACAATAAACTCCTCTCTAGAGCTGCATCTCTTCTCTGCGGCTAATTATCTCCAATAAGAAGTAACACTATAACAATTTATCCGCATCACAAGCCACAAAAGGACTGTCGAGTACGAGCTTCAACTGGCTTGCTATTCCATTTATTAAAAGGACTTGATATGATCAGAGCAACACTTTGACAATATCCTGCTTTCAATTAAGACTCATTTTCATGCAAATCATCTACTTTGCATTCACAATTAGTGAAGTCTTCACTGATTAGCTCTCATTGTGAGCTTTAGAAAGGCAGCTATGCAAAACCATACATCTGTAGATGTGTGGGGTTTAAAAAAGGGTCCATCCTCCATCACTGATACAGGAAACAGGAAGTCAAAGATAGAACATATGCAGTCTACTTAAGGCCAGCCCGCAGCTGTAAGGAGTTTTTTTGCCGATTAATAGTTTAAGTTCAAAATCATATGAAAAAAGACTTGGCTTATTTCAAAGTAAATGTGGCACAGGTGCAGAGCAACCGAGGGATCACCCACACATTCAATATGAACATGTTATCTATATTTCCCGAATAAGTCATTATTATAATTATTTCACACTTGACAAAGAGAGTTTTTCATATAGAATACAGCTGGAAAATGTATACATGATAAGAACTTGGAATATGTTATTTATTTGAAAAACTTGGGTTGTGTCCTCCTTTATTTTAATATTTGTTATTTTGTAGGAATTGAGGGCTTATAGCATCCTTTTAAGGTTTATATTTGTACAGTTATAACCAAATGATTGTCAGTTCAATGTAGAAAAGGCTCTAGAGAAGCATTACAATTCTCCATTTGAGAAATAAAAGAAAATATATATACATTTGAAGAGTTACTGAACAAATAAATATTTTAAATTGATCGTAGAAAAACACGTTTTAAGAGAAGCAACCTTGTTCTTACGAAGCCATTAAAAGGATGTTAGAGAGAACTAAGAGCAGCTCACATCCTCCCTGGAAGTCTTATAATAAACACACACACACACAAACACACACACACACACACAAGAACAAGAAGGAAGTAAACAAGGTCGATAACAAAGAAAAAGACTGACAGCCCATGATTGGTGGATAGGGATGACCAGACGGCCTTCCCGACGGCAGAAGGAATTGTGGGATATGTCTTACCAGGCTTTTGCACCCCATGAGCTTCCTGCTCTCCATTCTCCATCGCAGCACCGGTGTCTGCACACACACACACACACACACACACACACACACACGCACAAGCAACACATTACTCATCTGATTGCTAATAGCTTGACGAGATAGAAAATCTAACTGCATGGTATTGGTTGGCAGACCGTAAATAATACAAATTAGGTTTCCCCTAACCCTGAGTTTGAGGGCTTTTGAAGGGCACCTCACTACAGGCATGTGTGTTATCTGCCAGTGGATGAACCAGTTGGTAACACACACACACGTTCTGGTCAGACTGGGGCTGGCAGAGGGGAGCGCATATTACTGTGTGACATCTGACTGCTGAATCACTGCACTTTATTTATGTATCTAACACACAAAGCACAAAAGGGCATGAATCAATCACTCAAACATATAAATAGCATGCAAAGAACATGCACAAGACTAGTTTTGGTAAATGGCCTACCAACATTTTACAATTTGCCCCTTCACCCATAATGATCACAAATGTTACATTTACATCTGTCTCAATGCACCCATGCACTCACTATTAACACATCAATTAAGACTTGAAAGCATAGGCATGAAACACCTGAAGAAAAACCTGCAAAAACACACATACACAAAAACGTATGCCTAATTTGTCTTCATACAAGCAAACAGGACTCAAATATCACTTAGCATAACAAGAGTGAAGCAAACTAACAACATGTGCATAAGGGCAACAAACTAACAACTGTGTTGAATAACAAAACAAAACTTCCAGTGTGTGGCTCTCCTGCTGACAGAGGACAGTTATTTGCAGACCGCCTCGCCCTGCTGTTTGGCACTCGGCATGTCAGCATGTCTGCGTTTGTCCAAATGCAAGCAGTGTGCCACAGTTGATCTCTGGCAAGTACCCCCCCCCCCCCCCCCCCAGCACGTCCTCCAGCCCGCTGTCACAGAACAGTGCCCACACACAGTCTGAATGTCTGGCCCGTGTGCCGGGTAACCAAAACAGGCCCGAGAGCTGAGTCAGCCCCGGTTCACTGTCACTTCATTTTAGCTGGCTGTTTATTGGATGCATCCATCTGCTTACTTATCTTTTCATCATAATAGGCTTGGGTGACCTTCCTGACATCTCACTCAGGTTTACGGTATATGTTATCCATGTAAAAACGAACCAAAATAAAAAATGAATAGCTAAGCTGCTTGTGATATGAGTCATTGTAGCATGTATGATATTGAATAGCAAACAATGTCTAATATGCAAATAGCTTAATTTATGTTCAGCCTCACTGTGCACTTGATAATTGTTACCAATCCAAATCAAAAACGTCCTTCATACAGAAACCTTTAATATAAATATTTCACAAGAATGCAATCAACTCATACAAAGTCTGTTAAACTAACAAGTGAGAAATGACTCTTCCTGAGACCTCAAAGAGTTTTACTCTTAGAGCCTTGTACAAAAGTGCTGGGCTATATTCTTATCATACATTCTTTTGATCTAAACCCTGAGCATCTTCACTGGAGCAGGTGGGGCGTTTGGATGGTAACTGCTCAGAGACGGTACAATGTTCCCAAAATGCAATAGTCATTTGAGTTAAGTTATTTTGCTTATCTTCAGACTACTATCTGTCCGGCGGCTGAATGACACACCAGCTGATCCAAAATGACAGCCAGTGTCCAGCGGCCGCTGACACTATCAGTCATTTAGGAGCAGCTGCAGTTCACGTTACACAACAAGGATTCTAACTCTGTGAACATAATGTTGTTCAGGAAAATGTTAGTCAATGACAAAGATCACTTGCTGCTTCAAGTAATCTGAATTAACTGGAGTTTAAGTAACACAGGAGAGGAACTTTTGTTTTAATGTATTTGAATGGTGTGCTGAATAGTGTGTACTAGGACCTGTAGCGTGGCGTGGGAAAAAAATTAGGGGAAGCCAATAATACGTCCTTTCTTTTGAGTCGGGGGTGTGGTGGTCAATGTAATAACGTAACCAGATGAGTGATTACAGCACCCGGTATCATTTTACACACATTTGTATCATACAGATGCAGGACTTACACACGCCTGTTATCTAACCGACAGGTCCGCACGCACTCTCCAGCCCAAACTCTAATAAGCATTCATTCACAAATTAAATCAGGAGACCTTTAACGTTTTACGTCCGATTCGCTCCTTTGTTCCTCGCTGTACACAGCTCCAGTTTGGGCATCGGCCTGTCATCAGATTGTATTTGTTGTTGCTGTTGTAGCGGAAGTTTAGTACAATTATTTTTGATGAAATACTCCAAATCTCCACCCTCCATAATTGCACTTGCTTCAGTTGCGTGTTACTTTCTAACGGCGGTGAGAGTGGTGCAGTGACGCTATCTATCTTCTATCGATTAGATTTATGATTCGAAAATTATAAAAGTAGGGTAGACATGTGGATATTATCCGACTGAACAAAACGTGCATTTATCTAACAGGTTCGTTTTCCACTGACCTTATTTCGAGCTATTTTCCTAAGTCCTATGGAGAAATCCCATTGATTTTTTGTCGAGGGAAACATGAGGGAAACCGAGCGCAGCTTACTTCCGGATTTTAGGACGCGTCACTGCAAAGGAAGCCAGCCGCCTCCAGCTTCCCTTGGCATGGCCCTGACCAATCACAGGTTGGAAGGGGCATCACGTGAGCCTCATCTGATTGGTCAATCCCCATTTTTTTTCATCAAAGGAAGCCAATTTCGGCTAGACTCCTCTCGCAACAGAGAGTGCCATCTACTGTTTCACCATAACATGTAGAGGGGTGCTGTTTCACTCTTTGTAAAATACTCAATGAGAATGGGGGAGAGACGGGCCGGCAGCAACACACAGCACAGAAAAATTACCGAAACCAAACGAAGTGTTTTTATTTATTTATTAAAATTATAACTACAATCCGAAAAAAACAGGGGAAGCCTGGCTTCCCTTGGCCTCCAGGAGAAAACGCCACTGACTAGGACAGTGGTTCTCAAATGAGGGTACGCGGACCCCTAGGGGTACGTTGGAGTACTGCAGGGGGTACGTGAGATTTATTTTATGTTAATGAAAAAAAAACATAAGTAATGCATTTAAACAAACTGCTAATAGTAGATGAACTACTTTATTCAAAGGTTACAGTAATTCTGGATAATAAAATGGGGAAAATAAACGGGGTGCTCTCTTTTCCTCTCCCTCTCCTGACAGCCCGTCAGTCTCGTGCAGCTCGGTGAACCTGTAATAAGTGACCCGACAGTAAATAATACATATATTTATAACTAGTTTAGCTAGTTCCAGAGTAGATAAACTAGCTAAGTGTGTTAGGTCTAACTCTTAGTGTATTTAATTTTGCTCCACTCAACGGTCCGTCACAGCGGGCGGAGCTGTGATCATGCAGAGTTGCGTGTTCTCCGTCAGCAGCAGCAGATCTGATCTCTGATCTCTCTCTCGCGTCCGGTTAAACTTCACTCGCGTTTATGTCCAAATCTATCAGATCTAGCTAGTTCTAGTTAATGATATGACTGCCTGCTTATCAAAGGACACCTAAACAATAAGCGTTGCTTGGCAACGGCGTGTGGCCGCAAAGTATAGCGCAGCATTATGCATGTTATGTTTATTATGTTTATATGAGGGGTCAAAATCCCATGCTCATAAAATGCTCATATATTTGTTTCTCTTCCCCACGCCCCAAAATAAATAAATAAATAAATATATATACCAATTTTAGGAAAAGTAACGAAGTTTGAGCAGTGTGGGTTTTATATTAACAGAGTTACATATCTCAAAACGCGAAGTGTAATAACTGCAGTTTGCCTCCCTGTCAGAATGACAAAGATCCTCAGTGAAGCACAAGCCCATGTTTCTCACTACATTGTAAGTACAATTTATTAAAAAGATCAGTTCAATGCAACTAATGTCGTCTTAGTGTTATTGCATGATGTTAAAATTGGTTTGCCATGAATTTAGTGATGGATTCTAAACATTTGAAATGTAGCATTTAAGTGTTTCTCAGTTACTGTTGTTGTTTTAATAAATCAGACACTGATGGTGCAGCGCTGTACCTCTTTATATAGGCATTTTTTCCCTAACAAATTGTTTTTGCGCTGATCAGGGGTAGTGTTGCAGGGTGTACCGATACTTGAAAGGTACCGCGATACCCTGCCGTTAAAAACGTTACGATTCCTCCGTTTCATTAGTATCGGTACTTTAAGAATGACGGGGAAAAGTACTCCGGTGAGAAAGCGCTGTTTTAATAAGAGCCGTGTGTGTTCAGCGCTCTGCCTGCACTGCAGCCGTGCTTGCAGTCCCTCCCCTCTCAAGCACGCACTAAGTCCCTCCCCCTCTCTCGTGCACGCAGCTAGCTAGCTGCCAGAGCGTGTGAGAAAACGGGGAGCAAGTGGCTGCAAGTGGGAGTGCAACTGCCGCTGCGCCTCGGCTTGTTGACAAAAAAGACGCCAGCAGCTACATTTGGAAGTATTTGAGCTATATCTCTGACAGTGAGGGCAAGCCTACGGACACCACGAGGCCTGTCTGTAAGACGTGTTTTAGATCCCTGCAAACCAAGCGAGCCAACACATCAAACTTGGCTAAGCACCTCGCCGACCGGCATCCAGAGCTGTTTAAAGAATTTAAAGACAGACAGGTTAGCGAATGTGATAGATAACATAATTACATCATGCTCAAGCCCATGCCCTCACATCTAAGTCAAACAAGTGTAATTTATTTTATGACAAACGAGGCAATTAATGGCAATGATAACTGTCTAATATGGCTATCGTTTTAGCTAACTTACCAATGTGGCTAACATCTGCAATATACATTTTGTCAATAATTATTTATATTACTGTACTATTACATAAAATATAAAGTTAACTATCAAAGAAATCACATAAACTCAAGCATAAAGAAGAGACCATGTTGTAAGAAAACACTTAACAGATAAACTACAATGTTATTGATCATGAAAATAATAAAAGAAAATAATCGGAATCGCAATTCTTGACTTGGTATCGGTATCCAAACCAAAATGTTGGTATCGTGACAACACTAATCAGGGGGTACTTGGCTGAATATTTTTTTCAAAGGGGGTACATTATTGAAAAAAGTTTGAGAACCACTGTACTAGGATGTACTCTAACATACATTCCTTTAAAAATGCATACTGTTCCTTTAACTGTGAAAACATTTACATTTGTTGAAGTTTGTAGCCATAAACAACATTTTAGAAGACTGCATTCGGCACAACATAATGCCATTAATTCATGTTTGCCCAATACTGAATTTCACTCAATAGAGCTTGAACGCATAATAGTGTAACTAAATGAAACCTTACTGTGGTAATGTTAGCGGTTAGCTTAGTTATTTAGCCAAGCCCACTGACAGCTCTCTTCCTGCTGTTCTCAACACTGATGAGTTGTTCTCAATGTAGAATTGTAGCAAGTATTATATTGTTACATCCTTACTTCTTGGTTAAAACCCCAGAAAAGACATGTCTCTATCTTCAATGTTCCTTTATACTTCCGTCCTGCATCTTTTTACCCCACTGTTTTGTTCCCTAACGTTCTCAAAAACATCATTATTTCTGAAGTTATGTCAGAAATGTTCCTGTATAATACCAATACAACTCTTCGTCTTTGGTGATGAAATAACCCCATCATCTCAAAACTGATTTGGCATAATCCAACCCAGGTCAGCATCCTCAAACTCTTTTTCTACTGTGCTTCAAAAAAAGTGATAATATCTACATTTCCCCACTGTACTCCATCGTATCAGTCTCACCTGCCCTGGTGTCGTCGTCGTCCAGCAGGGGGATGTAGTCTGTTTTCCCCACCGTCTCCCCCACCTTATCTTCGAAGGTCTCTGACTCCAGCTGAGCCATGAAGTCCCTCTCCACCAGGCTCTCTGGGCCCTGCTGGGGAACGCTGTCCGTCAGGGCGTCACTCAGACTCAGGTCTAACTCCGCCATGGCTGCACACACACACAGATGGGGGGGGAAGGGTAACATGAAAGATTTATTAACGTTAAATAATGCTGTGAACAAAAGTACAATTCATAAAAAAAGGAAAGAATAAAAAAGAAGGACTTCTATGATTCGTTTTAAATCAGAGATGCTGACTTCCAACACAAATCAATATGGCATTATCTGAATAGATGACAGTGCATTCGATCACCCTAAAGATACTTATAGGAGGAGTAGTTCAAATTACAAAAGGAAATAAAACCCCAAGTCCGAAATGTATACCCAAAAAATGGTCAAAAACGGCACTTTTCAACAACATGTTTACCTCAAATTCATACATTGATTTAATTTGTATCCACCAAACAGTGATGTATGACATTTAACAGAACAGGCTATTTCTTTAAATCCAGAAAAGCCATGTTGCAAAGTGTTTACTAGACTTGCAAAGCGTTTAATCGAGCAGATTAGAAAAGTGGTGAAGGAGACAGTTTGAATCTGAAATGGAGAGATAAAGATGAAAGAAGTGGAAGTAAAGCTGAGCCAAGGAGGAACACATTAAGTGAGAGAGGTAGAGGGATGGAAATGGAGGGGAGAAGTGGTTAAAGGAAGTGAGAAGGCATCATCTATTATACCACAAGACCAACTCTATGACCACAAAGTAACAAAATGACAGCCTGTTGCATAATAGTGAAGTAGGAAGTATTACATCTGATAACATGATAAACAGAATAATTGAATTGATTAGACTATCATGATCAAGAGAAGATCTGATGGGAACTGAACAGGATTGATGGTTTGTGTCCCAAAGTGACATCAAAGTAGCCTCTGGAGCAGGAACAAGGCTACAGGGCCTGGTATGATGGCAGGCCTCCACGCTGAAGTGCCCCTGAGCAACCCTCTGAGTGTCAACCAGCTGCAAGACTTGACCTCACTGATGGGCGTAGAGTTAGAAGACAATTCGTTTTTATGTTTGTCACTGGTTGCTAGTACCTTCATGTGATACCACTTTCCACCACAAGGAGACACCATTCCGATGGGACTGCTCCGTATGGAAGAAAAGCATGACTTGGTTCAATCAACACAGAAGCACAGTCTGTACTTTTAGATCCAAGCAGTCACCATCTCGTCTAGGAGTTCAACCGATAGCCACCAGGGGAATTTGCAGAGTCATATTGTGTCAAGTTCCAACTATAAGGACATGTCATATTTAGTGTCAACAGAAGCCATCCTCCATCTGATCACTGTGTTTCTCTATCTCATCGCCATCTTCACAATTCTTCTTTACATCTCTATACTGTAAAAGTCATGCCTCCCCTCTCTGACAACCTTCTTTTGCATTTGTTGTTGAACGAGCAGGTTAGGTTTCAGGCTCTTGCTCAAAGACAAAGCAAAGACAAATGACTAATTTTCTGCAAAGCGGATCCATCCTGAGATTGACAGTTTCCTTCCTATCTCATATTAACACATTCATAGACCTTTCTTTCCTTATCTGCACCCTATGTACTTTTTAAAAGGCAGTTTACATACCTGTAGTGCCACATACATTCAATAAAGCTACACGTGTCCTACACATATCCTGAAATCAGATATTTCAGGATATGTTTATAAGTTTGTGTTTTCAATTCTTTATTTTAGGTCAGCTTCCTCAAACAGATGCAGCACACAATACAAATAACTCCACAGCCCCATCTGCTGGATTCACCATTCATTACCACACATAAACAGGTAGAGGTACATGATACTGTATGTACTTCTTATGCTCCTTATTTTAGTTTTATGCAGATCTTAATACTACAGATCCATAATCCATAAGCCCCCCCCCCCCCCCCCCCCCTCTCAATCAACTTCCTCCTGACTGCTTTTCTGTTTTGTTTTGTTTCTTTTTGGCATTGTCTTTGTTTTGTTTGTCTACCCTCCCTCCCAAATGTAAAGCGTCTTTGGGTTCAAGAAAAGCGCTATAGAAATAAAATATATTATTATTATTACAGAACAGAGAACACACTGTAGCAGTCTATAGTTTAGGATTGTCAAGGTTATAATATTAGGTTGTCTATATACATTACAATGTCCTGAATGTTGTAAATTAGCATGCTGTTTTCTAGGGTTAGGGTTACTGGCCAAATACTGGACAGTGTACGTTAGCAGAAGGTAAACTGGATCATGCCTTTTCCTTCTTCACAGACTGTTAAAAGACTGATATGAACAAACCAGAAAATATGTTCTACTCAACGAAGCCGAAAGATTGGCAAGGTGTTCAAGATTATAACAGCTGTCTAGTGTCCGGAAGATCTTTGGTTCAATGGTAGGAAAATGTGGGTAGGTAATATGAAAAGATGCACTTGCCCCTTCCTTTTTACCACAAATGAAGTGCCCTTGAGCAAAGCCCTTAACTCAACTAACAGGTATAACCTGTGCACAGGGCATTCCTGGGGAATACAACTCATTGCTTTCAGTGAAAAATACAAATAACATTTCCATAACTAATCAGACCATGGTTAAATCCTAAAAGCATTTATACTTTTAATAATAGTTCCATTTTCCAGAGACATGAGTTCTTTTGTCAAAAATAAAACCAATCACGTGGACAGCAGTTGTTACAATTCTACATTTTGTTGACTGATGACTAGGACAGTCATCAGTCAACAAAACGTAGAATCGTAACAACTGCTTACAAACAAAAGGGTGTTTTCGGAGGCAGGGGTATAAATAATATATATGTAGGCATTCTCATTACACTGACTGCCAGTGTATCAGCATTCTAAATAAGACACAAGGGTGTGTCACAGGAACACTGCTGCCTACTGCCTCAACCACAAAGCCATGCTGGTCAGAAACACTGCCCCGGTTTCCATATTTAACCCCACGTCATGTGTGTGTGTGTGTGTGTGTGTGTGTGTGTGTGTGTGTGTGTGTGTGTGTGTGTGTGTGTGTGTGTGTGTGTGTGTGTGTGTGGTGTGTGTGTGTGTGTGTGTGTGTGTGTGTGTGTGTGTGTGTGTGTGTGTGTGTGTGTGGTATACAGTTTGTCATGTGTGCCAGCTGCAGAGTAGGCCGATGATCCATGCCACTGAAGCCACCAACTGATATTATTCAACACCGAACAAGACCCATAGCATTCAGTAGAATATTAACATAGGAGTTGTTCTGTAGGCTATTTCAGTTTATGTTTCTACACCCCACATGACCACAGGACCAGAACCTTTTCATTAGTCTGGGTCCTTCCCCAGCAAGGTGCCGTAGTTTGAGCTGAGCTCCTGTTTTCCAACCCTGGCTCCCATGTTTGGTGTGGCCACTCGGAAATAATTTGGATTCAACAAAGGAAGGAAATCCATGGAAGAGGCAGTTTCTATTGTGTTGCGTGCCAACAATTGCTTGGGTGTGTAAATGTATAGATAAGGCATGTGTATCAGCCTCTCTATTGGTCTCTCTTAGGAACAGCAAAAACACATACATATATGTAAGTTGTTTCTTCTACAGCTCAACAGGTTGCCATTTCTGAGGGTGATGATCGGTATTTGGGAGTTTAAAAAGACGTGCAGCAGAAACAGAAGAAGAAGAGTGTATTTTCTTTGCCTGAAATGTTGCAAACTTGCAAAAAAAACTTGAATTAAGTGAATTTAAAGTTGACATTAATTATTTTAAAAGTAATGGTGACTGCCTTAAACTATCAACAAGGGTTCAACAATAAATTCCATATTGGGCTAAAAAAAACTAGTGGTGCACGATAATTATCGGCCCGATATTAGGAATTATGACGTCATCCCGATAAACCCGATAAAAGTATTAATAGCCCCGATAATATACAATATATTTTTTGGGTAAAAAAAAACAAAAAAATACTGCTGTGTGGGTGGATTGGGATGAGGGGCGCTTGTTTTTCACTCGGCTCCTCCCGTTTTGCCAGTACTGTGGTATTAGTGGTTTAGGAAGAGGGGAGTTCTTCACAAATCCAGCGCTCCCTAACTCATGCCTGGCTGTGACGTAAATGGTGTGCGGCCGTGAAGCCAGGACAGTAAACAAACATGTCGCCGGTAGTATGGGACTATTTCAAAGTTTCAGAGTTAGATAGTTCGCTTGCTATTTGTATTAACAAATGCAGAAGTTCCACGAGGAGGGAAAAAGGCAACGAGCTATAATACTTCCAACCTGATTAGTCACCTGAAACATCACCATCGCTACGATGGTGTGTTAAAAGCGTACGAAGACGCCTGCGCTGCTAAACTAGCGGCGAATCCAAAGCCAGCTGCAAAGGCACCGGGGCTTTTACCTATCGACGAGGCTTTTGAAAAAGGCAAGAAGTTTGCCAGATTTATTTGGGAAAATAAATATGGTCACTTTGAAGAGTCAAAACTGTTCTTGGCTTTGTTTTGTTCATAGTAGTAATGCTCATGTCATTTGCTCACTACTAGTCTTTTTTTTTTACCACCAGGTGTGCAAAAACTACAGGTACATTTAATATATATATATATATATATATATATATATTATATTGTTATCGGTATCGGTCTTGAGAAACAGGAAGTTATCGGTATCGGTTTCAAAAAACCAATATCGTGCATCCCTGATAATAATACATAAATACACAAGATATTTAGAGGGACAATCAGCAGTTAATTTGCATTTGTTCCTTGTCTTTGTTTATTGTGAACTATTGTATTCTGTGTTTTTGCACCAAAAAAGAAAATATGCACAAATGGATCATACATCTTCTAATTGGTTATACCAATTTGAAATACTTGACAAAGGATAAGGTGATTATTCTGTAGAAAATCACTTAAAGTTGGAAACAATACAAATACATCATACAGTATGTGACCACAGGAAAGGTAGATGTAAATTATGAAGGTGCAGTGTGATTGAGTGAATGGATGAGAGGATCTGTAAATGTACAAGGGAGTAAAAACGACAGACGGAGAGAAATAAGCAGTATGTGTATGTGTGATGGGTTCTCCATAAGCTTCACTTTGGCAGGACACCAACAAAACTCCTATAGCGGTTGTCAGGGTGAAGC